TTGGACCACTTAGTTTGAGCGCCTATGATTTTTTGATATACATCTGTTAGAGTGAAAATCAATCAACATGATCCTTACAATCATCTTGATGGTATTCCTTAATGAAATATATTTTTATGGTCGAACCATCAAAGTTCGCCATGTGCCATTATGTGGACCGAGCAATTTGTAAACTTGGGTCATGACAGGTCGTTTCATTTCTTATGCTTGCTCTGCCAAGTGGCCGGCCCCAAAGCATTAAAATTTTTTGTGTAAATTTCTTTTATACGTACAAATTTATGTGGATTTTTTTTTTTAGTCCATCTTAAAAAAATTTTAGTCCAATCTTAGATATGTCCTTGATATTGCCTATGGAAAGTAAATAAGGCTTAAGAGTTTCTCTTTTAATGTATTGTGTAGTAACTATCAGAACTCCTCCCAATGGAAGCAAAGGCATTGAAGAATTGGATTATTGTTGTGGTAGCAATGGTAATTTGGTTCCTAATTTTAGCAGCAGACAATGTGGAATGCACATTTGGAGTTGAGCTGAATCCATGCACACTACTTGCATGCAAGAAAATCCTACAGAATTCAGCTCAACTTCAAATGCACATTTCGCACTATTTGGGGCCAAAATTAGGAACCCAATTACCATTGCTATCACAACAATAACCCAATTCTTCAACGTCTTTGCTTCCATTGTGAAGAGTTTTGATAGTAACTACACAATACATTGAAATAAAAACTCTCAACTCTTATTTACCTTCCATAGACAATATCAGTGACATCTAAGATTGGATTAAAAAAAATTAAAATGGACTAAAAAATTAAAAATCCACATAAATTCGTACATATAAAAGAAATTTAATGTTTTGAGGCTGGCCACTGGGCAGAGCAAGCATAAGAAATGAAAACGACTTACCATGACCCAAGTTTACAAATTACTCGGTCCACATAATGGGCCATGGCAAACTTTGATGGTTCGACCTTAAAAATATATTTCATTAAGCAATATCATCAAGAGATGATTGCAATGGTCATGTAAATTGATTCACACTCTTATAAACATATATCAAATAATCATTTAATCACCTACCTTAATAAAAAAGATAGAATTACTTCGAGAGAGGGTGAGAGAAATAATAGGCGCTCAAACTAAGTGGTCCAACGATTTTATTTATAGAATTCATTTGCAAAATTTGAGGCATGAAATATAA